CCAAAAATGACCATGATTACAAATGTGATATTGATTTTTTACAACTAGGGCTGAAACGATTCCTCGAGTTACTCGAATACAAAAAAACACTGAGGGAAATTATTTACCTCGAGGCTTCGTTTAGTCCATTTACTGTAGCTACACACAGAACATTGTGTGAAAAAATGCCCATAAAAGGTCAAAATCAATTAGAACTTACTGAAACAGATTAACTTCAATCACTGCTGTGAACTGACCAGCACACAGAATATGAAGATATCAAACACTGTAGGAGTCAGTTTAAGAGACCAGCACAACAACACACTTGTCTAATTATCGTCATGGATCAGATCTGTGTTGGGATGCTGTGCTGTACCTGTCAGTGTGGCTGTGCTGCTGATGGAGGCGTGTGGCTGAGCGTCCAGCGGGAAACAGCAGGAGTCTGTCTGCTGGAAGCTGCTCTCCAGGTGTCTCCGCTTCTGCATGCGCTTGTACTCCTGCTTGATGTTGCTCAGGATTTGCTCTGGAAGACAGAAGTAAAACATTAGCGACAAACAGGCCAGAATTTCTACAGGGACTCAGTCACATGATCACAAGTAGGGCTGGGATATTCTCAGTTTGTCCAAAAGTAGCGATAGTAATCAATCAGAATAAATCCATTCCCATTTCAGATTCTGAAAGTACCATTTAATAAACTTTGCAATCCTTTTGCAGTGCCTTATGCGCTCTGCTCATTCTGCATGTCTCCCTTACTCGCTTACACACCTGACTGAGATCATCAGCTCACTGAGCTGTGTTAGATAAGGGAGACATGCAGAATGTGCGGAGCGAGGGTCTCCTGCTTACACCTGGCTAGTGGTCGACCCAGATGGGTTTTTTGATGGCCGATGCCGGTATCTTGGAAAGCAGGGTGGCCGATATAAAGCCAAAATAATTGTATGTATTTGAATTAATTTAAGAAATCTGAAATCATTTCAAAATGGATTAAAAAAATAAATGTGTAAAATAAACTTATACATACTTAGTATTTTTCACAAATAAATAAACATTTAATAAAAATATAATTCAAAAGTAAACACTGTAACCAACAGGGCACTCAGTGTTCCGAGAGGTTTGAGTGCATTTGGAAGCAGATTTTTTCAAATAAAGGTAACACTGATTTTACATACAGCACACACTGGGTTTTTTTTTTCTGGACTCCTTTTTAATGGTTAAATTAAATTTGAGTAATCAAAAACATGTCTAATTAATTACAATCATGAAACTTAAACAATTTAACATCAATTTATCAAAAGTTTAACAAAAATGGCATGTTTAGGGCCCTATGAAATGTTTTATTTTTTCCAACCTTATGTTTTATTGAAACCAAATTCTGTGTTTTAACATGTCTAATTATTTGAAAGCATAAAAACGAGTTTCATTTATTCTTACAATAGCCTAATGATTTTTTCCCTCAGAAATTCTGTGTTGTGTATTTAAATTTTTTAAGGCATAAAACAGTAATTTAATTTATCTTTTAATTAATGAAAATTAAATATTGTATTTTTGGAAAATAAAGGGGATTTAATATTACAATTAAAACATTAAAGAAATATTGTATGATTATTCCTTAAAAATAAGGTTTTAATTTTAGTAGTAGCCTATTACATTCTACTGAACAATAGTAATAGCCTATATATTTTTTTGCCGCAATGCCTTCAAATTAAACCGAAATGTTATTTTGATGGGTTGCCGTGAATACCTTGTTTTACTCAAATGACACGAGCATTAGTTTGTTTAATAAAAGAACAAGGTATATACCTTTTCTATAGGAAAGGTAACTTTAAATGACTTCTGTTGTGATCTGGCGCTATAGAGAATACAATTAAATAAAATTAATTTGACCTTCGAGGGGGACGGGGGGTGCCGTAATATAATGGCAGGGGAAACACTGAATATCGCATGCGATTTATCGCGCAGCCCTAGAAAATACTGACGGGCGAGACCGCACACTTCAAGTGTAGCATCAAACATAGCGCACGTCTCTCAGCGCATCCGAAGCCTGCGAATGTCCTTGTAATTCACTTCAACCTTTCCGAACTTTATGAAAGGGTGGAGTGATGTGTGTGTGTGAGGAAGTGGAAGCAAGCAGAATACGGGTGTTTCTTAAGCAAACTCAGCGTCATCATCTGGTTAAAAGCTAAGCTCACAATCGTTGGAGAGAATCGCGATGCATCGATGGATCTATTTTTTCTCCCACACCGAGTCTCCAGCAACATGTTTTTGTTGTTGCTCTTTTTCTGCAGCAACTCAGAGCACTTTTCATACTCTTTATCCTGGCTGAGGCACTTTTGTTTCAAGCTATAAGACCAATCAGCCTACACGACCAAAGCTTTTTCAACAGTAAGATTTTTCATGTTTTTTTAAAGAAGTCTCTCCTGCTCACCAAGCCTGCATTTATTTGATCAGAAATACAGCAAAAACAGTAATATTGTGAAATATTTTCTCTGTGAATCTCTGTTAAACTGTAATGTATTTCTGTGATGCGCAGCTGTATTTCCAGCATCATTACTGCAGTCTTCAGTGTCACATGATCTTCAGAAATCATTCTAATATGCTGATCTGTTGATTATCAATATTTACAACAGTTGAGTACATTTTTTTTTTTCAGGATTCTTTGATGAATAGAAAGATCCAAAGATCAGCATTTATCTGAAATAAAAAGTTTTTGTAACATTATACACTCTAGCATTCAGAAGCTTGGAGTCAGTATGATTTCTTTTGTTTTGGAAAGAAATTGTAGAAATTAATACTTTTATTCAGCAAGGATGCTTTAAATTGATCAAAAGTGATGATAAAGACATTTATAATGTTACAAAAGATTTCTATTTCTGATAAATGCTGTTCTTCTGAACTTTCTATTCATCAAAGAAACCTGAAAAAATTCTACTCAGCTGTTTTCAACATCATCATATTAGTTATTTCTGATCATGTGACTGGAGTAACGATGCTGAAAATACAGCTTTGAAATCACAGGAATAAATTACAGTTTAAAATATAATCAAATAGAAAACAGTTATATTAAACAGTAAAAATATTTCACAATGTTACTGTTTTTGCTGTATTTCTGATCAAGTAAATGCAGGCTTGGTGAGCAGAAGAGACTTCTTTAAAAACATTAAAAATCTTATTTTTCAAAAGCTTTTGACTGGTCGTGTATGTCAGCCTATAGTCTGAAGTTAAAGATATTAATATTAATAAGGTGAGTCTGAGACGATTATTAGACAGCGATTTCACATTTCTTGTTTGTATGAAGGCTAAATACACATAATAGGTGAACATTCACTTATTTGTGCTGTTTTTTTTCTAAATTATATGGTTTTATATGAGGCGCCATAGACTTGGCAAATACATTTTTCATAAGTTTGTATGCAGACATCTGTTGTGGGCGTGCTTGGCAGTTTCTACAAGGCTTTTTTTAACAGTGTTCATATCGATATCAGAATTATATCGCATCGACCGAAATTAATATATCGTGATATGAATTTCGGCCATATCGTCCAGCCCTAATTAGCTCCCACTAAACTGCTGATAAACACAAGAAAAGATGAGCAAACACATGAGAGTATGACTGAAATGATGACGTGTTAAGACATAAAACACGCTTATTCTGTGGCACCTGAAATAAATAATTTGCCGCCTAACTTTGATTCTTAACAGATTTTATTGTCTGGAGCCCTGCATGAAGGAACATCTCGCGCCTCGAGTAATCGCTCAGTGTTTCCACCGCGGGAAGACGTCAATACAACATCCGTAGCATTTCATCTACATCAGGCAAGTCGTCAGTGTCCTCAGCTCGTTAGTTCACTAGAGAGATTAAGTGAAGAGCATTTCGCCAAATATTAGACTATATACTCATATTTTACTTTACCGGTTAGTGATGTCTCTATTTAATGTATGGTTAAATAAATCTGTTATGACAGCTACCGTGTAAATGAATATATTTCAACAACAAATAGTAATTTTATAATTAGGAAGTTAATTTAAAAACTGCATTGTGTGTGATTTACATGTCTGCATACAATAAACCACTGTTTAATATTAATAAAAAAGCAATTTTGTGTTTACGTGTTTCCTCCTGCTGTACGAACCGTGACGTCAAAACCGAGGTACGCACTGAACCGTCATGTCGGTGCACCTATTAGAAGGAAAACAGGTTTGAAAACGGTTTAAAATGCTTGAGCTCATTATTTCTACTCTGTTGAAGTCATGGACTGTCTCTGCTACACAGCAACCTCTTCAGAAAGCTCCACCTCCATCTTGTTTTCCTACAGTGCACGTGACCTACTTCACCAGCACAGCACGGGAGTGGGCGGGGCTAAAGCGGTCTTTGGGCGTGGTTTGCTGGAGTACAAGCAACTCTGTGATTGGAGAATCCTTACAGAATCATGGGTAATGTAGTGAGCTTTAACCTATCAAACACGATTATTACAAATAAATAAGCTGAAATAATGAGGGCTGAAGGCTTCATACCATCGATCACCGACCTCGTATCTCATAACACATCTGTCCTACCAGGTTTAGAAGTCATCTCTAAACATCAGCTTCCTCACGGAGAAAACAACGGTGCTTTTACTTCCGGAAGCCGTCCTTTGCGATATGTGCTGCTCACGAACAATACCGCTAGCACACCGATGATAACCGTGTAAAACGGTTTAATCGTACTTCATCATAGGCATGGTCGATAATCGTGCCAAATAGCGAGAAACAAAGCCTAGTGGCTACTACATTTCCGCCTCTCTGGAGAGAGCACATCCCCAGTTCACTGCAAATTGAAAATAACCTTTCCATTTCGACCCGGTTATTGTAATTATCCAGAGTAACGATAAATACGAGTACGGGCGATCAGAGAGGCTCACACAGACACAGGTTACTATATTCCGTCGAGTGCCGTGACGCTGACGCGGAGTTTTGGCGAGATTTCAGCTGTGTGCGCAGGAGAGTCGTGGTTGTTCGGTGGACTAGAGCTCCACAGACCTGTGGTGAGGGCTGAAGACACCCTGCCGAAGGGCGAGGGCTCCATGCGCAGGTACTTCTGCGGGGAGGCGCTGGCGCTGGACGGGGACATGGGCGCACACCTCCTCCTCTTCGGGGACGCCGGGCTCATCAGAGGATCGAAATCCATAGTCCTTTTCAGAGTGGCTCCACACGCCATTTTGTCGAGGGTTGTGCTTGATAAAAGAATGTGGCGAAAGTTAGTAATCCGCACGAGCAGCGAGAGACCCCTGCTAGTCACAGTCCTGCTCTGATCTCAAGGGAACGCGACTCGATCGCTTCGTTTTTATTTAAATTCTGCGTTGTGTTCGCGGCCAAACCCTCGGCTAAAGACGCGTAAACGCGTATAAGCGGTGAGAAACGCAGTTGTGGCGTCGATGCTCCTCCGGAAAGCGCCGATGAGTTCGGATTGTGCCGAGATCGCGTCGGACGCCTCTTCAGTGAGCGCTAGCCGGCTAACAAATATGGCGTTGAAACAAAACATTCGACGAAGCCGCTTCTCTGCGCATGCGCGGAGGCTTTCAGGCGAAGCCGGTACTTGTAGTTTTTGCGAGATTCTTCCTCGTACGCGATTCCTGTCAAGGCCGCATAGGACAACTACAAAACCCCGCTCGCGGTTCTCGCGAATGAAGTCGCTCATTGGTTGATTTGGATTGTTTGTGGAT